AGAGAGAGAGAGAGAGAGAGAGAGAGAGAGAGAGAGAGAGAGAGAGAGAGAGAGAGAGAGAGAGGCTTGGTCAACAGAAGGGTTTGCCAACTAATGGTCAGTTAAGTGGAGAAAAAACGTTTTTTTCTCTTTTTCTTGGGGAAAACAGCAGGTCCTTATGAATTGAAGAACAAAAACTTGAAAAGAACAGTAACTGCATGGTTCCCTGGCGAAAAATATATTCCGAATATACAAGTGTGATACAGACTACAGACTAGAAGACGGGGGGGGTGGAGGCGAGGAGGAGGAAGGGGCAGAGGCAAGCAACATTTGAGGACAGAGGAACTCGGTCAGGCCCATTCGCGAACCTGGAAGAGAAGCTTGCACGCATACGGAAGCTTCATCGTAGCAACCGCTTCTCCATCCTTGCAGTATGCGCAGAAGTTTGTCTTCAGCTTGTGATTGTAGTAGCCCTGGAGACCACACTTAGTGCAAACCTGCATAAAAAAAAAAAAATCATAATATAAAAAAAAACGAAAGAACCAGCAAGCAAGGACATAGGAAAGCAACACCTGAGTGACATTTGTCATGGTTGTAGAAAGCCACCCCGTGCGTGGCTCATGCCGCAACTGAGGACGATAACGAGGAATCAGAAGCTCAAAGCCCATCACCAAGGATGACCCCATCGTTGAATGATATCCAATACCCAAGGCTAAATGATGAACATTGATCATAAATTCATAATCCTTGCTTCACCTTTTTCCACCATGTGTTTTCCATTTTCTCAATTTTATGCATGCCATCCTTTCGCAAGGCCGACGCACAGGGGCCATGGTAATATCTTCTCCCTGTCATTCCAATTTTAACGGATGTCCCGAAGAACATGCTCGACTCCCTATGTTTGCAACTTCGCACACCTTTCTCCGCCATGTGTTTTCCATTGCTTGGTGTTCCCCTTACTCTTTCTGCTTGCCTCCCTATGTTCGCGGCTTCGCGCGCCTTTTTCCGCTGCATGCTTTCCGTCGGTTGCTGATCGCAACGTCGCACACCTTTTTCCCACCATACATATTCCATTGCTTGCTGTCCCCAGCTCTCCTCGTCCTTGCCTCCCTGTGTTCGCTCCTTGGCACCATGAGATTGCCTTCGATATGAGGCTCATTGATGAAAAAACAGGGAGATAAAGAGGAGCAACTTTCGGTTCACATTTTTTTTTTCAGTGTTTTTGGCATAAACAGAGACTGGTGCCATGATCAGGCTCGGAAACCATGCGCCTACGTCGAATTAGGGTCAGGTTACAGAGCGCCAGTGGGGCCTGGGCATTGCCCATACCTCAGACTGTCCCGCAAAGACTCTCGGGAAAGAAAAAACTCTTTCACAGCAGGCGTTACGCAGAAAGCGTTGGACAGAAACAACACTTCTTCAGCATGGGTAAATTCAGGACGAGACGAGGAGGGAATTTTCAGAAAAGAAGATCCGAAAAGAAGGTTCGAGGCCGTCTTACCTATATTTTAAACTACTGTGTTACCCTGAACAGAACGCACCCCCGCC